AATAAGGATGAAAACATGTGGGTCGTGGTCCATATCACATAGGAATCGGCTGCTCGAAAGGAGAATATGTTGCTGCTATGTGAGATCTTTCTCATTGCCAATTCCACTCTTGAGACTTGTGCTTTGGAGGCAATTTTGATGATTGGACCTTCTTTGGCCGATTGGTGACATTTGCTTCTGCTTCCTTCTTGTATTTAACTAGAAGTTCTTCGAAGCTAAGCTTCAACCTTCTAGTTCTCTCCTTGTCCTGGCCTTTACCTCCATCAGCACTATGGGCATCCTCCCTCTTCTCCCCATCTTCGTAGACATAATCCAAAGGATGATCCTTAGCCGATTTCTCTTGCTGAATGGGATCAATCGGCCTTTGTTTTAACTAGAGAGATTTCTTCTGCCCCCTAGTGTCAATGACCCTGTCTTCACTTGAGGGCTCCACATCACTCTCTTGGACATTTGAGCCTTGAGCTTTGAGTGAATCAGCTAATGGTAGCCGATTTGAAACTTGTTTGCCATCAAGACCAATTGATTCCAATTGTCCCACTTGCTGAGCTTCAGAAAATCTCAATCGTCCTTTATCAATGGTCGATTGGATCACTCGACGAAACATATTGCAATTAGAAGTATTATGATCAAATGAATTATGCCACTTGCAATATGTAAGCTCTTCGAAGTTTTGAAGTGATGGCAAAGCTTTGTGATCAATGAGCCTAATAAAATTATTCTTTAACAAGATATCAATGACATGATCACAAAAAGTAAAGTCAAAGGTGTACTTTGATTTCTTTAACCGACTCTTTTGTGGAGTCGGCCTTAAAGCTAGACAAACGAAGGGATCAGATTTAACATCAATCCATTCGACCACACCTTGTAATTGCCTTTATTACTAGATGTTTTAGAATTGATCATAAAATTTACATCGATATGGGCAATATTTTTTAATCTTGGTTCCGAATTATTAAACCCAAAATAATTACAGAATTTGTATCTCCTATGGGACCAAGTATGAACTAAATTTAAAACAAGTAAAGCAACCCACATAGATATAGAATCCAAGGTAAACATTTGGGAAAGCTTTAACTTTGACAAAATATTGCCATAGGCCTCTTGATAAGGGACAATATGTTGGCCGATGCAATCTGAATTTATTTCATGATCAACAAGTAAATTACTTTCCCCAATTGGTCTCCTAGATGTAGCAATTGAAATAATATGACCAGATTGGGAATTTGGTAAAATACTTGCACCTTGTACTTTGTTAATCATGCCGGAGAAGTACATGTCCTTGATTTGCATGACGTTGCCCTTTATCTCCAGAAAACAATTTGTAGGGGCTTGATCTCCATCAATGATACGGCAATCATCAGATAAACGCACAACCCCTTTAGCACCAGAAAAATCAAGTCTAGCCAATTTCTTGTGCTCCCCCTATTTTGATACAACTAGACTTGTTTCTTGAGAAGGAACCGATTTGGATTGGATATTGTTTTGTTCGGTCTTGTCAACCGAACTCTCGCTTATATCCAAAGTAGCTTTAACTTCAAGATAGTACTCATTAGATTTCTCCTTCCGAGTAAGAGAAGCATCGTATAATTTATTAAAACAAATATGCCATTTAATACTTCCATGCTCAGGGAGAGTAGGCATGCCATTTAAAATTTCAGTAATTCGGCTTTTTTAAAATTAAAGCTGAATCATGAATATTAACTTCTACATGTGGTGCTAAATTTGTATTGATTCGGCTATGGTTACTAGTTACACGTGAAGCCAAATCTTAAGTATTAGCACTTGAACGCCTTGTTGAAATTTCATTAATTCGGCCATAATTCTTATTAATATATGAGGCCGAATTATTAGCATTAGCATTTGCATATGATGCTGAATTTGTAGGCAAAACCTTCGATCTATTGGCACGTCGTGCATCATATGAAATTTGAGAATAATTGGCTAAATAATCGGCATTACTATAACCAATTCTCTCATTCATCGGCATGTCTTGTGGTGGAACCACATATTGCGAACTTATAGCCGATGAATCAGGATATGCATGTTGTATGTTGCTAGTAGAATAAAAACTCGAAGAATTCATAGTTTACATCAGCTCTTGACCATAATATCCATGATGCGTATGATGAGGACTATTATCAAAAGCATTAGCCGATGCAATATATCTATTACTAGTAACTAGCAACACCAACATGAGAGTTCATATTACTTGCAAAATAATTCTTATAACCATAAGATGCATGTGCAAGCTGTACCTCGGGGTAATTGTAGTAATTTTGTGACGCAACACCCTAGTACTGCATGATTTAGAGCTTGACCACCTTGCTGAATTTTCCAATAGCAAGTGCAACACGTTGGAAAATAGTAAACGGGATCACAAGGGGTCAAAACCAAAAGCGATCGGCCTTTTGGGCCAGAGGCAACGGTAATGACAAGCACAAGAAGATAAATCAGCAAAGAGTAGGGCTAGGGTAAGAAGATTCGCCTACAAAATAGAGCCGAAGCAAATTCTTCCCCAGCGGAGTCGCCAAAAAAGTGTGTTGACGCCGGATTGATCTCGGATCACACACTAGCTAGGGCTAGATCGCCCGGGTCGCCATGCACCGAAGAATGCAGTAGGTAACCAACACACTTTCGCGGTGAAAAGCGGCGAGGTTTACAAGCAAACCACCAAAGGATAACCAACATACTTGCGTGATGAAGAACCGGCTAGTTTTCAGGCAAACTAGCAAAGAAACCGCCGAAGCTTTCGCCCGGGAGGGACCCCGTCAGGGCAAGGACATCGCCGGGTTGCCCTAGGTCGGCCGGCAAGCCTAGGGCACCATCCTTGGTTGTCAGATCAAGGGATGAACAGCATGGGGTTTGGAAGATAGGGTAAAAGAGTTGGAGTAGATTGATTTTGTCGATTGGATAGATGAGAACTTAATCGGCCATGATCCTCTCATATATATAGAGGTGGGTGGTCTTATCCTAGCAGGAAACCTCTTCAAGACTTATTTTCCAAGTTTTCCACGAGTTTGGAATAGTTCGCATCGGAATCCAAAAGATTAGATCCGAACAGGGTTTTTATTAGGTCTGCTGGAAGTTCCGACATCCTTCCGACTTGAGTCGGAAGTTCCGGCAACGGAGCATCTTCCCGGGGGCATAACTCCTTCATCCGGACTCCGAATTGGAGGTTCCATATATATTTTTTGACCATCTCGACGAGAGGAACACACTGATGTAGTCCATTTCACATTTTGACAACTTCACAAAATAGAAAATTTTGGTTGTCAACCAATGTTTTAAATCTTCCGTTATAGCTGCCACTATAGCCCGCTATAGCCTTTTAAGGCAAGGTGCCGTTATTTGTGTTAATGTACAATTTAGCCGCTATAGCCCGATTTAGCTCCGCTATTATCTGATTCAAAGGTATGCCGCTAAACACCTTATCCCGCTATTTAAAACTATGTTGTGAACACACTCCGTCGTCAATGGCTCATATGCCACGCCGTTCTTTGTGGCACGGTTCCGAGAGGCGCTGTTCTACTGCTCGGCGATGTTTGACATGCTGGACGCCACGGTGTCATGGGACAGTGATCTGCGCTTGGCGGTGGAGCGTGACCTCATCAGCCGGTGCGCCCTGAATGTCGTCACCTGTGAAGGACACGACTGGGTGGAGCGCCCAGAGACGTATAGGCAGTGGCAGGCAAGGAACCGCAAGGCAGGGCTGAGGCAGCTGCCGTTTTTTCCAAATGCTGAGAAGATCCTGAGCGAGAAGATGAGGAACGAGTACCACAAGGACTTTGTCATTGACGTCGAAAACGATTGGCTTCTACAAGGCTGGAAGGGCCGCATACTTTACGCCATGTCTACGTGGGCTGCAGATGACACCATCTCAGAATTGTCGTAGCTGATTGCTGAAACTTTAACTGTTGTGTATTCTGCTGTTTGGGAAGAGTTGCTGGCCAAAAGACCCGCTTGGTGCGGTGACAAATATTATGAACTTTATTACACTGTTGTGATGGTTTCTGAACACAATGAAACAATTGTTGAAAGATACAAAGACATAGAAAACATTTTTTATTCAAATAACTTTTCAAATGATGATTTAGAGAATAAAGTTTAGAAAGACTCATAAAGATGCTCTAATAGCTTACCTATATGGTGTACATAGCCATTTATATTTTATATCTTTGGCTAGCGAGAAATCCGAAATAAAGGATAACAATATTTAGAGACTAATTAGAAAAGCTATTAAAGAATATATATGTTTTTATCAGAATCTTTATTCTTATTAACTAGGAATGATATAAAAAGATTTTTAGAGTTGCTCTTAGTGCGTTTGAAACCTCATTTGGTCTCGTCTTCTTTTGTCCCTTGCTCCACTGTAGTACGTCTACGGATGACAAAAATAATAATGCAGTTCCGGTCGCAGTCGCATCTGGCTGCCTAGCTAGCTTCCCAGAAACTTCTCTTCTTCAGCTGCTCCTCTGTAGTTTGATCCGTCTAGCTAGCTTGCTGTCTAGAGGCTTGCGTCGTCGTCAAATCAAAGGTTTGATTTTTATGCACCCTCCCTCTCTTTCCATTATTCCATTAATTATTCTCATTTCGTTTTTCATCACGCAATGGAACGTCAACAACCACAGTGAAGTGATGAACACGAAAACCCCGGCCGGTGGCTGGACTCGTCGTCCACCAACTCCCTTTGCAGTTTAAAGGTTCCATCAAAGCTTTGCTTTTTATGCACTCAGACCCACCAAGCAACAGCAGGCCGACCCTCATTCTGTTTCAATCCTCCTCTTGATCTTCACCATGCGTCTAGCATCACCACTCCACGAGTAAGCAGCAAGTGAGCTACGTAGCCATGGCATCCGAATCTGCAGGGTACATCGCCGACCCCGACGAGCAGCCCTTCTCTCCTCTGTTTTTCTTAACCTGCCCCAACTCCTCCCGATGATGGGCAGGACCCGGTGGTCTCGTCAGACGACCTCGTGATCCCCTTCATCTCACACATACTCATGGACGACGACGACAAGCTGTCGTACCAGTGCCCCGATCACCAAGCGCTACTCCAAGCTCAGCAGCCCTTCGCTGAGATCCTATCCGACACCACCACCACCACCAATACCAACGTAGCGACCAGCACCTTCACCGTCTCGCCCATCTTCCCCAATAATGCCGTGTCCGCGTTCGGAACCGCTACCTGGCCCTATGACCCAGTCGAGCTCTCCCTACATCTCCTTTCTAGGACTCCGTACCACGTCCCCGACAACGTCAGAAGAACCGGACGCGATGGCCTCACCCTAACCACGGGTGATCATGGTCGTGCCAACACCACCTTCTTGGCCGAGCAAGATAACAACTACACCACCAGCGTGGGACAATTCCGACGACAGAACGCAGACAAGGCAACCATGGACATGCTCAACCAGGCATTCCGCAAGGGTATGGAAGAGGCCAACAAGTTCTTGCCCACCACCAACATGCTCCCCATCCACTCAGAGGCCATCTCTGGGTCGTCTAGGGAGCACCTGTCTAGAGACAGACACAGGATTGCCGATGGACAAGTGAAGGAGAAGGGGATTGTTGATGGGATCACGTCATCATCAATGTTACAAGAAAGTGGTAGCGATAGCATAGCCTGTAAGAAAGACCATAACCGCTGGGACGACTTGGAGGTCGAGATGGACAGAAAATGGCGGACTTGAGCATTATTGCCGTGATAGCACCAGAGTCAGATCAAACCAGGGAAAAGATAGACAAATTTGTTTTGATCAAGTACCAGTCATTACTCGACAAGATGATCGCCGTGGACATGGAGGCTGAGAAGAATGCCAACAAGGGCAAAAGGAAGTCCGTAGCGGTCACGAGCAATGAGCCTGCCGTCGACTTGCGCGCCCTGCTCATGCAATGTGCTCATGCCGTGGCCACAGGAAACCGTCTTGGTGCCACCGAGCTGCTTTACAAGATCAAGCAACATTCCTCGCCAATGGGAGATGCCACACAAAGGTTGGCACATTGTTATGCTCAGGCGCTAGAAGCACGTTTGGATGGCATGGGAAGCCAGTTGTACAATTCACTCATGGTGAAGCAGCTCACCTCAGCTAATGAGTTCCTCTTCCTCAAGGCCTATCAGCTCTGCGTGCCAGCTTCTTGTTTCAAAATGATGGCGTTCATGTTCTCCAACCTAACCATCCTGAAGGCTGTCGCCGGTAGGGCTAGGAGAAAAAAGGTGCACATTGTGGATTATGGTGAGCATTATGGGTTCCAGTGGCCGACCCTGCTTGGCAATTGGGCAACTTTGCAGGAAGAAGGACGACCACTGGAGGTGAGAATCACCTGCATTGTCCTTCCTAAAACCGGGTTCCGTCCGGGAGCTCGAATTGAGGAGACTGGACGCCGACTCAACAACTTTGCCCGTCGGCGTGGCATCCCGTTCAAGTTCCGCAGCATCGTGGCAAAGTGGGAGACGGTATGTGCTGATGACCTCAACATTGAACCTGATGAGGTACTAATTGTCAATGGCCTAGCTGATTTTGGGAGGCTGATGGATGAGAGCGTCCACAACATAGATAGCCCAAGCCCTAGGGACATGGTCCTCAAGAATATTCAAAAGATGCGTCCTGATGTGTTCATCCTTTTTATCGAGAACAGCTCCTACAACACACCCTTCTTCTTAACACGCTTCCGGGAGGCACTGTTCTATCACTCTGCAGTGTTTGACATGATGGATGCAGTGGCGCCACGGGACAACAACGATCGCATATTGTTTGAGCAGAACCTCCTTGGACGACATGCTTTTAATGTCATCGCCTGTGAGGGCTGGGATAGAGTGGAGCGGCCCGAGACATATAAGCAATGGCAAGTACGAAACAACCGGGCGGGCCTGAGGCAGCTGCCGTTGGACGCTGATATAGTTAAGGCTGTGAGTAACAAGGTCCGCGAGAACTACTCTAGGGAGTTTGTCGTCAATGTAGATGAGCAATGGCTCCTACAAGGCTGGAAGGGACGCCTACTTTATGCCATGTCAACATGGGTTGCAAATGATGGTATCTCAAGTCTTGGCTAGCGACACAGAAATGTCGTCTTTGTAATACATGTGACATGCTTAATTAGTTAGGTTGTACTAGGGTCTCTCTGCTACAGAAATGCATGCCTAGCTACCATTGCAAAAACATATATAGCAGAGTAATATGTTTTTTTATCTCTTTGTAACACAGAAATATGTTTTTGTTTGGAGAGAAAAATCACACGGGATCTCTCTGCTATATATGAAGAAAAATTCTACGGACGTGCCATTGTACTAAAGTACATAATAAAGAGATAAAAGGAGGGAACACATATTTTATTCATATTGGATAAAGAAATACAAATATAGTTCCTGATACACATGCGTGATATGGTCATCTAGCTACTAGGGTCTCCGAAGTCTCCTGGTCAACTACATGCACAAGTCAACTCATGGATCACCTGAAAAACTCACGCATCTAGCAAGTGTGAGAAGAGGTTAAACTACATCTCCCCCTTCCTCAGCCAAGCTGGCAGACTTGAACTCACAGATTCAGTACTTTCTTCTATGCCAACTTACACAATGTGCTCAATTGTACTACCAAAAACAGTGATAAAACACATTGACAAATATAGAAGGCATTGTCTCTGGAGAGGGGCAGAGACAAGTGAAAAAAGGTGGCAAAAGCAGCATGGCCAATAGTTTGCACTTCATGGGAGTTCCCAATCTCCAAACTCATAACGAAGCTTTGATCCTTAAGCATCTACACAAGTTCTTCAACAAAAGTGACTTACCATGGGTAGAATTGATTTGGAATAAGTATTACAGAAATGGAAGATTGCCAAATATAAATGCCCCCAAAGGCTCCTTCTGGTGGAGAGATGCTCTGAAGTTGCTAGATAAATACAACGGCTTGGCAAGTGTAATCATTTCTAGTGGACAAACATGCCTTCTCTGGGATGATCTTTGGAATGGTCAAGTGAGAAAATTGCTCTTTCTGGAACTGCACTCCTTTGCAAGAAACAAGTCATTGAGCCTAAGCCAAGCTCATAACTCTAACTCACTCTTGGAACTCTTTAACTTGCCTTTGTCAGTAGAAGCTCACTTGCAATTTCAGGAACTTCAACTTGAACTGTCAACTCTCAGGTTCAATTATTTAAATGATAAGTGGACCTACATTTGGGGATCTCCCATTTTCTCCTCTTCCAAAGCTTATAAATCTCTGTCAGGGCATTCACAAGTTGGGCCAATTTTCAAATGGCTCTAGAAAACTTCATGCCAAGGGAAGCACAAGATCTTCTTCTGGCTAATTCTGAGAGATAGACTAAGCACCAGAAACATGATGCGAAGAAAAGGAATGTACAAGAAGTAGCCGCATACTTCTACATGGCTGGAAGGGCCGCATACTTTATGCCATGTCCACGTGGGCTGCAGATGACACCATCTCATCAGAATTATAGCTGAAAACCATTTTGTTATTTCGTTTTCGTACCATATGCCTGTATATTATTTCAGTTGCTGAAATTCAACAGATGCCTTGTCTCGAGGAGCTCACTTTTGTAACAACAAACAGATTTTTGGAACTTCCCTTTGCGTCTGGAGAGCTCAATCAGATGCAAGATTAATCATCAAGCAGCTCCTGCTCTGGCTACTCTTTTTTGTTTCATTTTGGTAGTCGTCTGCCTGCGGTGTGGAATTATGATTTCATCAGAGTGAGTAAATAAACAGCTAAATAAAAGATCGCTGCATAACTGATGTGTATTCTGCAGTTTGGGAAGAGTTGATGGCCGGGACCCGCTTAATTGGTGTGGTGACAAATATTATGAACTTTATTACACTGTTGTGATGGTTTCTGAACACAATAAAACCTTATGGTGACCTTTGTAAGCATGCTAACGATGAGTAGGAAAGGTTACAGTTACAGGTGAACATATATACGTATTTCAAGCAGGTACAGTTTCGTTTTCACCCAAGGTCAAGGGTTGTTTCACTTATGTCAGCAGCACAAAAAGAAGAGAGAGAGAGAGAGAGAGAGAGAGAGAGAGAAAGAGAGATGCTTGTTACTCTGTTCGCTCGTGTGTCTGCATACTAGGTTAATTAGTGTATCTTAGCACTAATTGTGTGACACTTAGTAACCTGTTGCTATGTTTCAGAGTAACCTGTTGCTCTGTTTTTATCTGCCACCACGTGTTTAGTTTTTCTTTTTCTTTTCTTTTTGTCATGATGCAGACTCCTGTGATGTCCACATGGGCTGTAGATGACAGTCTTAGAATTGTAGCTGATTACTTTACACAGTTTGTGATGGTTTCTGAACACAATGAAACCTTGTGATACGTACTTCAAGCAGGTACGGTTTGGTTTTCACCGAAGGTCAAGGGTTGTTCCACTTATGTCAGCTGAAAAAAAAACGATATGCTTCTTACTCTGTTCGCTCGTGCATCTGCATACTAAGTTAATTACTGTGTCTTAGCACTAATTGTGTGACACTACAGACCTTTTTATTTTTTTTAAAAAGAAGAGTAACCTTTTGCTCTGTTTCAGAGTAACCTGTTGCTCTGTTTTTATCAGCCACCACGCATTTACTTTTTTTTCCCTTTTGTCATGATGCAGACTTTTGTGATGTTGTTAATAAACGCTGTATATGTCATGACAGAGGAAGGTACATCGCTTCTTCTCTGGCCATGTTATGTACGGTTGGTTTCCATGCATATTCAGTGTTTCTTGAACATTAACATGTACAATCTTTGTCTATGTACATCCGTCACAGGATAAGTGCACATCTCCTTATCGAGGAGTCAAACTTTTTTTAAGTTTGGCTAACTATCACCCTCAGGAAGCTCTATGCGTTTTAGTTAAACCTGATTTGTATCTGTTCTTATTTTCTTTGGAGAAATTTTCTGGTATGCTTATCAATACCGGAGGGTCCGATATGAAGACCATGGAATTTGGAGCTGATTTTTTTGTGAGTAGCTTCCTATGATTTTCTGGTATGCTTATCGATACCGGAGGGTCCGATATACAAGGATGGATTACAACCGGATCACCGTACCTGGACTCAGACGAAGAGAACTAAACCATTGGAGAAAGTACTTAATGACAAGAATCCAAATTATACAATTTTTTTTCTTTTTTTGTCCTTTTCTTCTTTTCCATACCTTCAAAGCAATGGAGGAAAGCGATGTTGCCCACCGAAAACACCATTTTACCGGTATTTAAAACCGAAAAACACCATTTTACCTGCTTCTCAAAACACCGAAATTGTGAAGGGTAAGTTACATCAGAGAGATGCTTCTTCTTGTTTTCTTTTTATTGATATAATTTTTTTAAGATGAAGGAAGTATGATTTTTTTTGTTTTTCGTTGATATATGCAGGACTCAGCAATTGTTAGAGCAAGGATAGTAATCCAGCCGGCAGCCGGCTAAATATAATGGCTTGGCTTTATCGGTGTGGCTGGGTGCATGTGCATGTGCATGACATGCAGAGAGCAGGCGCACAACGAATGAGATTCTTCGGTACAAAGCAAAACGCTAGTTTTCCGATCATCGTTGGCTGGGACCAGGCGTTTTAATCTCGTGGGACGTGCTCAGCCGTTTCATTCTCTCTCATTCAGCAAGGATTTTTCTGACGTGGACTGATATACAGCCTGCTTATGTGGCCTTATTATACCTGCTCTTAGGCTCGGCACCCAAAATTCTGTGCAAAATTTTCCTCATGATGAGTAGAAGTGGACTGGCCACCTAAAATACAAGTCCTTTTCTTTTTTTGTAGTTATTAGTGCTCAGAAAGAATCACTACTGGAATCTCGATTTTTTCTGACGGTGCGAAAACCCACGGAAAAATTCGAATACCGTCAGAAAAATATTTTTCTGACGGTGTACCCTCAGAAAAATACCCACAGAAATATAATGACAGAAAAATCCAATTTTTCTGTGGGTTCACCGTCAGAAACAATTTTTCTGTGGGTCTCACACGCACAGAAAAATTGTGTTCGCCCAGATTAAAACTAATTTTTCTGTGTGTTAATCCACACAGAAAAAAGAAATAAACGCACAGAAAAACACATGTTTTTTTTCTGTCGGTCTAGGTGAACTCACAGAAAAATTCATTTCGTCCAGATTAAAAAAATATAATAGATAGCATACATATAAAGATCCAAATGTTCAACACATTCATTAATGACATCCGGACTACATATAGATGATGTTCAAATGATCCGGCATCAATACATTCAAAAGCATTACCATCTCATCTCAAAATTCAAGTCTCAGTCAAGATGAGTAAAGTACCAGCATGCATCATTGAGTCATATTATACCTAAAACTAAAGCTAACAGATTAGAGCCTATCAAGGGCCTCGAGGTACTTCTGCTTGCGGATGTCAAAGAAGATCTTCATGGAGTAGCGGTTGTCCTCCAGCTTGGTGAAGCCGCTGAGGTACCTCTCCACCTCGTCCCACTCGCCGCCCTGCATGAGGTCCTCGAAGTGCTTCATGTTGAAGTAGAAGCCCGACTCCTGCTCTAGCCTGCACGGGCAACCGCAAAAAGCATCAGAAATCCCAGCTCACCCAGCAAAGAAAGGCTCCAAAAACCCCATTCATGATCATGGCGAGTACTCACTTGTCACCGTCTCCTTGAACTTCTCCTCATCGAGGAACTACAGGATGAGGAAAACCAGCTCCCTGCTAAGAGACGACATGGCTACCCTGATCACAGTCGGAGCCTCCAGCTCTCAAAAACCCGCCTAAACCTCGAGCCACCACCCATGCAGACATTGAAGGTTGCTACTGCTACCTCACTTATAGTGCCACAATACTTTTCCAAAAGTACCACAAACTAATAAACTAGTGAATTCTACATTTTCACAACTACAATTGAACATAGTTTTGCAATTCAGTTAGCCAAATCAACTTGGATCATGATTCCTGGCTGACCAAACCATGCTTTAAAATGTCCCATGGGGAGAAGAAGTCCAGCACTCCTGAGGCATCAAATAAAAATGACCCATGGGGCAAATCAGAAAATACATGGGACAAAAGAAAAGGAAATGGAGGTGATGGTGCCTGGGAGAAGAAGTCTGATGATGGCCATGGCAATTGGGAGCATCCCAGCAACTGGAAATGCCAGGGGAAAAAAAAAGGCAGATGGTAACTGGAAATGCTGGAGATGGAATTGGAAGACCAAATGCCAAGTCTAATGCAGGATCCAGTTGGGGTGAGAAAGATAAGATGGAGTCTGATGAGCATCTGAAAATCCCAAAAGAATCAGACACATGGAATACAGGGAAATCAAATGAAAGTCCATGGGATAACACTGATGCACTACAGGATTCTTGGGTTAACAGTATTTCACCTGGAGCAAAAGAACAAGAGCAAAAGAACTCAAGAAATGGCTCAGATTTACCCATTATCAACATGACAACTGCAACTTAATTTCACCTGGAGCTTAATTTAATTCTCTCTCTAGTGGGAATTGAACTGGCCACAGAACTGGTTGCTTGTACTGGTATAAGCCATCCTAGTTAAGCAGCAAACAGAACAAAATATCCCAAGTACCAGCTCTTAAGGTGCTAAAGTGCAGAAGTTCTCTAATGGAAACTTGATTCATCGTAGCCACTCAAGAGTAGCACAAAACAAAAAAAAGTCACAAGGTACGTGAATGGTGGAGGCAGGCAAGCGCTGCTCCAACATGCAGGGGTGTGACCTCAAGGACGCATCCCTCCCAGACCCTACGGCCTGAACCCAACATCCATGCGCTGGAAAAATAGCAAAGTGCAGATAAATAATTATCAGCATCATGGCAGCACTTCTTGTTTCACTCCTCTCATGAAAAATAGTAGTCAGTACCACTCAAAACTAAATACACAGTAGTACATTCAGAAGAGTTATCTTAATTTCTGAAATATGAGGTTCGGACTAGCTAGTTCCAAATTCTTCACAAAATTGGACATGAGATCTGGATATCATCAGATCAGGATGCTCCCCAATGATGAGTAGAAAACTACTTTTAAAACCCATCAAGGTCACTATCAGCTCAGGGTCTTGCCATTTGGCCTCACAAATGCCCCATCAACATTTCAATGTATTATGAACCAACTCCTCCAACCCTTTCTATGGAAATTTGTATTGGTTTTTCTAGATGACATACTTATTTACAGTGCCACCAGAGGATCACCTTCAACATATCCAACAAGTATTTGAAACACTTAGGGCCAATCAGTTTTATCTCAAAGAATCAAAGTGTACATTTGCTCAACCAAGTTTGGAGTACCTTGGACACATTATTTTAGATGCAGGAGTAGCCATTGATCCAGACAAAACCAAGGATATGATCCACTGGCCCACCCCCACTAATATGACTAAATTGAGAGCATTTTTGGGGTTAACTGGGTACTACAGAAAGTTTGTGAAAAATTATGGAATCATTGCCAAGCCATTGACAAATGTCCTGAGGCTCAAGCAATTTCAATGGATTGCTCAAGCACAAGAGGCTTGTGCAGAGGGGATTGGGGTTGTCCTGATGTAGCAGGGGCAACCAATAGCCTACCTCAGCAAAGCCTTGGGAGAGAAGCATAACAACCTATCTATTTATGAGGAGTTTCTAGCTCTCGTCATGGCAGTGAAGAAATGGAGGACATATTTACAAAGGCAAGAATTTCATATTCTCACTGATCATAGATCCTTGTCCTATTTGAATGAGCAAAACCTTCACCCTAAGATGCAAAGGAAGGCAATGACTAGGCTGATGGGCCTACAGTTTCAAATATTATACAAGTAGGGCAAGGAGAATTTAGTAGCAGATGCACTATTAAGGGTAGCTCATATGATGGCACTGCAAGCTGTCTCTCAAGTGCAACCACAGTGGATCCAAGAGGTCCTTAATTCTTATGCTACAGATGCTCAGGCTCAAGAGTTACTGATTAGCAGAGAAAGGAGGGGGGGGAGATGAGAGTAGAGCATTGTGACTGATAGGGATGTACAGGTGAAGAGGACTACCAGAAACCACCTAGATCCATTGGAGGCTGCCATAGTCGCCGTCCACCTTGACGGATCTGGCCGTGGTTGCCGAATCCCACACTCTCCTGTATGTCACCGCCCCTCGAGCCACCCAGGTAGCCCGCACTACCTCCACCACCACCCATGCCGCGGCGTCGGATCCGGAGGAGGGAGGGAGGGAGGCAGCGGGACCGGATCTAGAGGGGAGGGGCGGCGCGGCGGCCGGATCCGGGGAAATCCGGGAGGGAGGGAGGGAGGGAGGCGGGGGCCAGATCCAGAGGGGAGGGGCGGCGTGGCGGCCGGATCCTGGGAGAGAGAGGGGGCGGCGGGGAAGGAGAGGGAGGGGCTGGCCGCCGGGGAAGAGAGGGCGGCACCGGGGAAGGAGAGGGAGGGGCCACTTTGGGAAGAGAGGGAGGGAGGGTCGTGCCACCCGGCGGATCCGGGAGAGAGCGAAGCTGGGGCGAAGGGAGGGAGGAGCGAGCTGGGGCGAGAGGGAGGAAGGAGGGAGGGAGCGAGCCCGCCGGATCCGGGAGAGGGGGGGCGCTGGGGTCCCGGGCTTGAGGAAGAAGAAGGGAGGGGAGGGGGCACTTGGGGTGGGTGGGTGGGAGGCTGGGTTGGTGCGGAGGAGGGGAGGGGGAGCCGGGTAGGAAGAAGGGAGGTGGGGGGGGAGGAGGGGGTTCAGTGCGAAGGAGGAGGGGGCTCCTAGTGGTCGTTTGAATTTTTCTCATGCGTTTTAAAATAACCCACAGAATAATTACGATTTTTTCTCATGCGTGCATGTATTTTTTCTATGCGTTTTAAAGAACCGGCAGAATAAGTTGTATTTTTTACGTGAGTGCTGATTTTTCCGTGTGTGTGTATTTTCACGCATGTAAAAAATCATATAATCATATAATTATTCTGTATATTTTGAAACCGACGGAAAAATTACAATTTTTCGTGTGTGTCGAAAAAAAACGCACGAAAAATTCATCACCCATGAAATATTCGAGTTTCCAGTAGTGAATATTCAATTTGCATAATTGTGCTCATGACTCAAGACTCGGCGAGGCAACTAGTGTGCAGTGCAGCGAGATCACCATTTTTTTAACATTGTTCCGTAGCTGTTGACATAAAAATGTTGCAACGTGATCTACACATAGCAAGCCGGAAGGATCTAAAAAGGAACAGGAGCCTCGCAGATCCGCTTAGCTTCAACACCCGGATCCAAAAGATACTGAAAAACTCGAACGGCGTACCAATCAATTTGACCTGCAATTGACAAGGAAGGAAATTTTATCAGTAACACAAAGGTGGAACATGTCGGTTTTGTCCCAGATAGTTCCAATAATGTATGGCTTAGCAAGCCAATAAATGAATAACCATCGACTAGACAGTCGATATCCGACGATCATTACATGAAGTTTTTATAATAAAGAATGAATCGGTTGTTCATATATAAGTTAAACTTTAAATTGAAGTGTGTTTTATGATTAGGAATAAACCAAGACAGAAACAAGTACAACACACTCAAATACGAATAAGAATCGATATCTTCATTATATGAGCTCTTACTTTAACCAAACATCCAATTCAAGGAAATATGAAGATCATAGTTTATACCAATTGACCGTTAAACGCAAACAAGCTTATGAATTGTCACCTCTAATCTACCATGATTAACAGTGAGGGTCGACCGGATCGATGCAGCTATGTTAATCATAATAAACTTTGAGATAAAAATCCATGAGCTTATCCATGTTCAAAAATCGCATGATATAATCATTTAAATACAAACCAATCTATAATCGAATTGAATCTCGATCTATCATGTTCATCAGTGAGGGTCGATCGTTTCGATGCAGCTATGACATCCATGACAAACCTTAAAACAAATCTTTTATAGATCTATATATATTCAAGAGATCGCAATATGTGAACTTTGTACGTATCAACACATGAAAATCGGCTAAACAGCCGATTTCTACATGGAAAACAAACGAACGCATGACCCGCCCATAGTTCGATTTGCCGGCTACCAAAATTCGATTCTGTGCTTACGTTAGTGAGGTTCAATTGTTTCGATGCAGCTATGACAGTGACCATAGACCAAGGCTCGATAGCCTTTAAACCTCTTTATGGATGACTCACGTTTCGAATGCCGCCCATGCACGATCAAAACCGAAATAAAACAGCCAATGAAACATAATTCATCACTTAGACTTATAAGAACATCACGTTATATCAAGATTAAATGATGAACCCAAAGAATATGAGGCCGATCTAGATCGATTTTAATTGGACGAGTTGATATTGCTGAGAAAATAATATTAATGAAATATATCAGCAAAATCGGTAACTTAATGAATCTATCCAAAAGTGCCACCTTTAGATAGAGCCGATAACTTGACCTTAATCTAGTTCGAGCAGTGGAGGTCAGACTTAACCGATGCAGCCGTACAAGAACTAAGCAAGAGTCGATAACTAATCTATACTACCACTCGCAAGAGATCAATCAGCTGATGCAGCCTTACAAACAATAACATAGATCAAACCTTATATTATGCCTTGCAAAAGATCAATCAGCTGATGCAGCCTTACAAGTAATAATACAAAGGGTGAC